TAATGATAATAATAACGATGACAATAATAATAACAATAATGATAATAATGATGATGATGATAATAATAATAATAATAGTAATGATAATAGTAATAATAGTGATAATAATAGTGATAATAATAACAACAATAATAATGATGACAATAATAATATAACAATAACAGTAACAATGCCAATAATAATAAAAATAATAATAAATAATAATAACAATAACAAAAATAATAATAGTGATAACAACAACAGTAGTTAAGGTCATGAGTGAGATGAAGAACTGGATAAATGAAATAGTATATAAAATCATAATGATAATGAGAAGTGGAACATTTTTCTCGATTATGATTTGAGAATGTAGACTCAGAGTAATAAACTTATGAGGCATCTCGGCACCAACTTGCTAAACGAAGAAGTTGCACAACCGATTTTTATCACTCAGTCTGCTTCACATGACAGGTCTGCTACAGTTCAGAAATTCCAGAGATGATTACTACGCAATCGTGCTAGCGATAAAACCAATTATCAACTTACTTCCTTAACAAAATAACGCTTCGGTGCATGCTGATTCAAAACCAAACAATCATCCCAGTCGGCCCAGGACCAGCGATATTCAAAATTCGACATGTGGTAACTAAACCAGTCAACAAACCTGGAAAAGAAAACCGTTACTACTGTGTATAAGATAAATCCATTAGCTTTTACTTCATGCATTTACAAGAAACAGTTATTTTTCTGGAAGTATGCAACCCAGGATCGGATTTGGCTTAACTGCACCTGGCACGTGGAGGAGCATTCCAGTAACATCACTAACATGGGATAACCAAACTAACTGTCTGAGCGGTCTTGGTATTATGTTTCATGAATGTAAATATGGATAAAAATGTGGCTATTTATGCGGCTTCCAACCAATAAATATAACTATAAATATAATTTGAAATGCTCCTACGTAATTTTATGTATAAATCATATAACTATGCAATTTTACATATAACAAACAAAAAGTAAACAAAAAAATAAGGAAAATAAAATTAGTAATGTAATAAATATGTGTTGGAATTAGATGTTTTTTGGCTCATAAATCTGAATTTCTTAAGGAAATTAACAAAAAAACCTCGCAAACAGGCAACATTCGAACAGACCCCTCCACTGTAATTTTCGCTAAGTTCCCCAAACACCTCATTAAGTCCAAAGTGATAATACGATGTGCCACATTACTGTGAATTTAAAAAAAGGAAAATTAAACTCGATTTGAAAAAAAAAATGAAACGATCTATAATCTAAGGGGGTAACTGACCGATCGACACATGTCATATGCATTGTTGCAATTCGCTGGTAAAAGAGTTCGGCTGATTGTGCGATTACCTAAAATTTATGAAATTTTTACTTCAAATAGTAGAATTTTGCACCAAAAATTTGGAATTTTTTGAACGGAAACGAAGAACTTAAAAAATTAAATAAAAGATATTAAAGAAATCATGCTGCGTCAACCGAAAGGAGTTCATACTGAGGAAATTTTAAGAACAAAAAGTAACATAGTTTAAATACAATCATACAAAACTGTGAGGATATCCAAAAAAAACACTATAAGTTTTCAAACTCAGTTATTAGACCGAGTAAAAGAAAACTGCCTTTTACTTGCACAGCTTCTACTGAACAAAGATATCGCACCCCTAACTGCACCTCACACTGCCTATGTTTACAGCTTAGGGATGAAACACAGACAGACCACCGCACATACTTCAGGTACATGACCATTTTACATGTCAGAAGGTTTGTACCATATTATCTAGTCAAATATCTTCCCCACTACCATTTATTATCAAATTCTATCCTTCCCGCCTTAAAATCCACAGAATTCAACCACGCTGAATTTCCCTCGGTTAGCATGGTCCACTACTTCACAAAATACACTTCGGCCTACTTGTGGCCGCAAAATACCACTCCACAGCTCCGATCTTCTCGCCAGTCCTGCTTGGCACCAATAATTTTGGCTGGGCTTTTATTGCTCTTCCTTTTAATTTTATTATTTCTTAGATATGAGGGATAACAAAAAAAAAGTAAGACATGCAAATAGCTAAATTAACCTGTGGCATATTCTTTGTTTTGCACAGTTCGAGGATAATACTTCCATAGAATAGTGGCAATGATGCCGGATCTGGTAATCGCATCAGCTGGGAAAATATCACTTCCAGAATCATGTAATTCAGCGGGACAGCCGATTTCCGGCGATAATTCACAAGCTGCGCTGCACTACAATTTTTTGAACATTTTTTATTAAAAAAATTTTTGAGGTGGACATGCCAAGTAACATCGCTCTGGTGCTGAAGATTGAGGATTTGCTTCCGCCAGTGTATAACCACTCCCTCTACGACTCGTTCATTCGTTTCAATGGTAAACTGTTACTAGTAAATGCCGGAAAGTCAGAATCGTTAGAGGTCTATTTCAAAGAAGCAGTCATCGATAGTCTTACCGGAGTCTAGATACATAAGGTACCTACTACCAACCAAACTGCTTTTGACTGCTTTCTCAGAAGAGGTGATTATGGGGAGGGTTTGACTTCTATATTTCTTTTTATTACGCGCCCACAGCTCTAAAACTTTCTTATTTTTTTCCCTTACCTTTTCCGGCCCGCGCTCCCCAAAAGTCCTGCTATCTTCCCTTTCGCCGTCAACCTTCCCCCTCCCTCCCCCCACCTCTCCCTTTCCCTTTCGTTATTTTACAAGTACAGCTACAGTTTTTTAGTGGCAAATTCTAGCAGATCTCAAACTGCTGCTTAGAAATTCATAATAAACGGATATAACAACATCTATAGCACAAAAAAAGGGAAGGACAACTGTCGAAACTAACAAATGTGAAGAAGCCACAATATTAACCTAAAAACTGTAAAAAAAATTATTACCATTCACGCCTACTATAACGATTACGTTCAATTGTCCAGCGCAATTCTTCCTCAATTAAAAATCGCTCAATTGAGTGTGCTCCCGGAAGCACTGGACCCTGGAAAATGATGCGGATGTCAAGACAGTAACTCGGAAAATTTCACGAAGTATGCAAAATGGAACAAGCAGTACCACATCCGGACAGTCGGCATAGTCAAAGAAGCGAAATACAACAGCTGGCAATGGATAAATAGTTGTCGATGAATGTGGCGGCGGTGCAAATCTGAAACATC